GCGGCCCGGCATGGCCAGATGGTTGGGGCGCTCGACTCACAATCTGAGGGTCGCGAGTTCGAATCCCCATCACACCAAACATGCTCGCCCTTTCAGCCGTGAGAGAGTTATAATGTGATGGTCAATCCCACTATTCATTGGTAAAAGAGTAGCCCAAGAGTTAGCGGTGGGTGGTGATGACCAACTGCCTTCCCTCTAGTCTTACACTGCTAAATTAGGGACGGCTAGCGCAGATAGCCCTCGTGTAGCTTTGCGCGAAATTCAAAAACAAAAACAAACAAACACAAATCCTTTAAATATATATTGTTACATTTCAGTTTAATTTGTTTCTTTTATACTTTTTTTGCATATTTTCGATGTACTTAAATTCTTATTAAATGATGTTTCCAATTTGCATGGAAAACTATGCTTGTACACATTTGTCTCAAATGTTTATATTTTTACAGACCAATAACGACGAAATTTTTAGGTTACGAATCGTTTGGTTACAACTGTTGTAGCGATGCGTCCTGTCTTTAAGTGAAATCCAATTTGAAACGAATGAATCAATCGTCAGTGGTACTTTACAATAGCAAAAGGCATTCCACTGAATTCGACTTCAACTGAAAAAAATAATTGTTAAAGTAAGTTCTGTGGTAGTAAATAGTTGCTATATGGATGAATATAGCTTCGTAAAACGAAATCAACTGTTAGTTAGGGTGACTGTAATAAAAAACAACCAAAGACAATTTTCTGCAACTAAAAAAAAACAAAAAAGTAGCAATAATGCTCGCTTTGAATAGGAGTCAGGTTAGGAGGCGGGGGGGGGGGGGTTATACAAAGAAATACAGCATGAGCGTTACAAGGAAAAACTGACAAAGATGTTGGCCTTGGCTATCATACTGGGACGATGACCGAAGGAAGGTTAACAAGATGGCTACCGACGAATTGTCCTTCGTGCTCTGCCAGTGTCAAACGTTAACTGCTGTTCTTACAAACACGATATCTTACAATGCACACTACGCACTAAAATATTCCTCACAGATCCTGTTAGTAACAGAACAGCAGCACCGCCCAATCTTCCAGATAAATTATCCTCCAGCCTTACCTGACTTACAGAGGGTAGTCATCAGGTATCGTTTCCGAACAGATACGTTGTTCGATAGTCTGGTAAAAATATAATCATGCTTTTAAAACAAAGTTGTATTATAATTTATTTGAAACCAGTGGTTTTTTTGCCGAGAAATATTAAGAATATATATTGTTGTTGTTGTTTTACCCTCCGATATCTGGGAAGATTGTCTTAAGCTCACCATTCTATATCTTTAGATATTAGTAAAGTTTTCATTATACTTTATGCAACACAAGGGTTAAACGAACAGGTCAAAGATCCTTATGGTTCAGGTATAGCAGTTCCTGATTTTGAGCCACTGACCAAGCACACATACCGCCACAAGGGATCTTTCCAACTTTGAACCCTATAATGAGATTGACTATCGCTCTTATAATGCAGAGGCATTGCAGCATAAACCCTGGACCTTCATTTTGTAGCTTGTCATGTTAACCGCTAGGTAACGTCCGGCTCGTTCGATGTTATGCATGAAAAATCTCTAAGTTAAAAAAGCAAAATACAAGAAAACATTTCGTTTTCACAAAGTAATATGTAAGAAACTGTTGAAAATGTGTTTACACAAAACATGTTCTCCATATGACTCTACAAAGCAAAACATTTTAAGTTGGCAGTTTTTTTGTTGAGGTATTACTCGAGAGCGCCGTACGAAATTTAATGTACAAAAAAAAAATTATATTCCATTCATAATAAATCATATAGAGAATAACTGAAACGTTGTGGGAAATAACTACGCAGAAAACTCTTTGAATTGAGATTATTTTCACCTACATACTCAATAACTCTAAATCAAACTGGCGCTAGACATTAGAAATGTAATTTCCATAAATTTTTTTACAAACTTACATGAGATGGTGCGTCATTCTATAGTGTGCGTAAAACATTATTCATCCTATAAGTTAAAAATAAATACATTGATGAAATAATAATCGTACCCCCTTGGCCTATGATTGACTATATGTAAACAAATCTGTACTACGTTGATACTTTTACTCCGGTCACTAATTTTCACCGTAATCTCACTATTCTCTACTCAAATACATCTGGAATTGGAAACAGGAATATAGCCTGGGCCTCAGACCGGGGATGTTACCAATAGTGGCTAACCTTCACCTAGAAACGAATCGTTACGCTGGCTCCATTTCCAACAACATGGAAATCGCCTAGGAGTGCCTTCAGAATTCGAAAACAAATTACACATAATAAAAAAACTCAATTTTGTGACACTGTTCACTTTTTCTTTTGGTAATGTGGTTTTAGCACGAAAAGCAGGTTTATTGTCCAGCTTATCTGAAAATTAATTGGCATTTTAATATTTTTTTTAGCAACAGCTAGATCCAAAAATGTGAAAGAACGGATCACTAGAAATTCAGTCTGATAAATTGATATTTTGTGAATCAATAATTGTATATCTAAATACGAAAAGTTAATAACAACCATTAAACTTAACTTCTCGAATACACATTAAAAAAATATAAACTTAACTTTATAAAGAGGCCCATCGAATCTAAGCACGTGTGCGCGTGTTGTTGTATTTTATGCTTGTTAGAAAACAGACAACATTTGTAAACTTATATCTAAAGGCCTTGGGGGAGAGGTGGGGGGGGAGAAGATTAGCTGAGAACAACGTGTGACTCTGCTAAAAGTGGGTCATCTCTGCGTACAAAATCTGTTCTTTTTTCTTTACAAAGGTTGGAAAAACGAGGTTTTTGTGGACGGAGAGAAAATGAACACGCCCGGAAGTGACGCATCACAAATTTTACATATACCACAGTAGCCAATCGGAGCTCTTCCTTCACCTGAAGTAGATCGCTGGGTGCGTGCTCTAATTGCGTATGACTTTTGTCGTTCTTTGTACACCAGCACTACTAACTACAAGAACTTATGAAAGTAAAGAAAAAAGGTAATAATATGTAAACCACACTATATCTGCTATATCCAGTACCGAAAAGGACTTTAACCCAATACTAGAGTTGATGAGGCCCAAGTTACTCTTCGGTAAAGAAAATCAAAAACATTTCAATTAACACTTAAATTGCCCTCATTTTCAAGGGCGTTTATCTCTCACTACCAATAGTACAATAAAAAAAAACGTGGTAGGCAATCACGTGTACTCCAATTCTCGATATTGCAAAATAAAGAATTGTTTTGGTTTGTTTGTTATGAATTTCGCACAGATCAACACAAGGGCTATCTGCGCTAGCCGTCCCTAATTTAGAAGTGTAAGACCAGAGGGAAGGCTGCTAGTCATCACCATCCACCGCAAACTCTTGGGCTACTGTTTTACCAACGAATAGTGGGATTGGCCATCACTTTATAACTCCCTCACGGCTGAAAGGGCGAGCATGTTTGGTGGGACGGAGATTCGAACCCGCAGATTGCGAGTCGAGCGCCCTAACCACCTGGCGATGCCGGGTCTTGGTTTGTTTTGAATTTCGCGCAAAGCTACTCGAGGTCTATCTGCTCTAGCCGTCCGCAAGGGAGGCAGCTAGTCAACACCGCCCACAGCCAATACTTGGACTACTCTTCTATAAACGAATAACGGGGTTAACCGTCACATTATAATTCCCCCCACGACTGAAAGGAGAAGCGCATATATATATATATATAACTTTATAAAATGTAAAATCATTTGAATGCTATGTATACAATGCGTGTAATTTATTAAAGCAGGCTGCAATAACAGTGCCATAAAAAGTTGAATGCTGCCTATATAACATGCGTGATCTATTAAAGTGTCCCCTAGTGCGACAGCGTAAGTTTATACTCTTACAACGCTAAAATCCGGGGTTCAGTACCCGAAGTGAACACAGCATATAGACCAATTTGGCTTTGCTCTAAAATCAAATAAATAAATAAATAAATCCATTAAAGGAGGCTGCATTGATAGTGCCCTAATAAAAGTTAAAATACTATGAAATCAAAATTAATTGAATGCTATCTTTATAATATGTGTAATCTATTAAAGCATGCTGCATTAATAGTTCCCAACAAAGGAAACGAAAAACATTGACATCTCTATGAGAAACACTATCACACTACCACGTGGTTGGTTTAAGCTATAGCCACACCTTCGATTGCTTAGATCTTTCGACTTTGCACAATATCAATGTTCTGAATGATAAGACAATAATCAATACTTTGAAATAAGTGATCGGATACCCATAAGAATTAACAAATTTAATTTAATAATATTTTACTAGCATACAGTTCACTAACCATTTGAATAAATATCTAAAAAAACAGGATAAATAAGTTACTTAACGTTTATAAATATAAATTACAAAGATGAAATTGTACACGAAAAAAGCTAAGGAATAAGATATTTTATTAGTCCCATAAAATAATCGAAATAAAACAGGAAATCATACAGAAGAGCATATAAAAACTTTATAAACATAGATAATTAAATTCCAGTTCGAGGATCATAACCTAGATGAACAAACAAGTTTATCATTTGGTCGCGTCTAACAAGCGGTAAACTTCACTTCACGTTCGTCTTCGCGCTACGGTGCACGTGAGAGAAAACGCATATTTTAAAAATGGTTTGAAATTAAAAACAATACATTTAAATAGAACGTCCTTGATATCATAAGCTACCTGTAGCTACGCGATTTTTTAAACGAGTTCTTATAGATAAGTAATCAGAGAAACTTAATATTATAATGTTAAAATTCGCTTTTAATTTCTGCTGTTAAAAGTACAATCCCATGGTGCTTTTTTTTTTTTATTTATTCATAATGTTTTCATAGGCTGTTTTGAGCCAACCGTTATAAATACGACCAGCTGCATGCAATATATTTTTGGTCAAAAGTCGATGTGTAGGCAATATATAAAAAGTTAAATACAATAATGTTTCACGAATGATTTGTCATAAAAAAAAACTACTTACAGTATCGCTTCATAAGCGACTTCTTGAAAGTGGCGTATTGTTTGGGTTTGGACAAGTCGTCTGGCTGCATATCTCTATCTTCTAGCATGATGCCGTCGTCTTCAATAATGTTGTTCAGCTTAACCAAAACCAAGACTAATTTGCGCTATTTAGTCCTTGGTCTTCTTGTATAATATTATCATTCAGCCTTTCGTATGAATGTGAATGGGTTCTTTATTATTGAATGGTATCACAAAACAGGCAACGCTAGCCCTGACTAAGATGCAAGAGATCAAGTATTGTAGTATAACTAAAGTATGTTTTGATTGGTTATACCAATTTTGTGCGTTGGAAGGCTTATAGAGTAAGAGCGAGGGCTGAGGTCCTCGTCTTACACGTTTAGGATCAAGACTAACAAGCAGTTGCAGTGGGAGAAAGTTTATGTGGTCTCGAATACTAGGTGTGCCGCGAGCAGGTCAGTAGGCGACGAGGGTACAGTGCGTGGCGCGTGGAACTGTAACGCAACATCCGTTGTCTCGTGCTCCGTTTCAACGGCTGTAAAATTGAATGAGCTGTACTTATCCGACAAGCTTGTCGACGTGACATCTCATAATCTGACAGCGCCCTCTACTGGTCATACGTGAAAACAACAATATTCATTTCGTATTAAAATGAGAAAACACAAACCCCATAGTGATGAAGCTTTGTCAAATCCTAACCCATATAAACTACGGACTTGCAACGATAAATTCCGGGGTTCGATTCCCTGCAGTGGACAGAGCAGATAACCCAATGTGGCTTTGATATAAAACAAACCCAGAACGTAAATGGGCTAACACTGGGTAACGAAATCATCTTTTAAGCTTATTACTATGTCATTTCACCATAAACTCTTATGAATCAAATACATAAGCTGGAGAGTTGAAATAATATTGTAAGAAGCAGTTGAGATGTAACAACAACAGAATCTCGGGTGAAGTTGAGATGTAACAACAACAGAATCTTGAGTGAAGTTGAG